AGGCGCCCGCGGGGCGGCCTCTGCTCATCGGCCCCCGGCTTGAACCCCGGCAGGTGATGAGGAAGACGAGGAGGAAGAGGAGGGGGATGAAGACGAAAACAACGTGGACGCGAGGGCGGAAGCCGGTGACCCACCTGCGAAGCGGACGAGAGTGGAGAAGCACTGACGGAGGGGACCGGGCTTAGGCCGAGAAGGGGGCGGTGCGGGTGGCGGTGCCCCGGGCCGGCGCACGGCCAGGCAGGCGCCTGCGGCTCCTCTGCTCCTGTTCCCGGGCGGAGATGTCGATCCCGGCACTGTTTGAACGCGGGAGCCTTAAGGAAGGGACACGCCGTGGCCTCGGCGGCGCGTTCCTCACCGGGAACCGTGTTACACCGAGGGGAATCTCCAGAGTTGACAGAACTGTTGTCACGGGTCTTCCCGACTGCTACATTTTTAATGGCTTTTTTAAAATAAAGTAATAAAATCTGGAAGGAGTCATTTGGTCAGATATGATCTTGAAGTGATACAAAACAACTTGTATTTGCATGGAGACAAAGTACCTTCTAAGTATTCAAAATTAAAACATACCTGTCTGACCCTGAACAGTCCTACAAGAGTCCTGTACAGTCCTGCAATGGAAGATTATTTTTGCCTGTTATCTAAAAGGTTTATTTTAGTCACCCATCAATCATTTTCCTGGAAAAGAACATAGAAAAAGTAGATTGAAAGAGTTAGGAATCTCAGTTTCAAAAAATCCTGTTTTTGTGGCAGCCAGGAAAGTGGCAAGTCAGTGTGACTTTAGTAATTATCTTTAATATTCCACAATTCAGAAACTGCTCTCTGTCCTAGGCCTGTTTTCACCAAATGTGGGTTGTTTTTTTTTTTTTTATGCAGCACTCAATCTTACATACTTTATTCCATCACTGAGTTTTTTACAGGTTGATTATTAGGTTAATTTGGTGGCCAAGTCAAATAAATAAGGTGAACATCACAGCATCCTGCCTATGCAGAACTCTCAACATTGCCTAAAAAGAAAAGAGCAGAGTGATTTTTTAAGATGCTTTCTAAAAACAAAACTTTGGGCAGATACTAGGGGAAATGCAGTAGTGTTCCACACTGGCTGCTGTAAGTATTTTAGAGGAGAAGAAAGTATAAATACTCGAGTAACACCTACAAGTAGATTATGTGTAGCAGTTCTTGGCTGTATAAATCAGCAGAACCCCATCCCTCTGCTAAGGGAGTTTGTTCTTTCTTTTAATGGTTACACAGCACCTGGAATGTCATTAAGGTAACAGATGCTTCTTGCAACGAAGTTGCCAATGCTGCCCTATGTTACTTTAATTGCTAGTTTTTGTTTGGTGCATGCTTCTGTGAACAGGCATAAAATGTTCTTGATAGCCAGCCCATAGAGGTTACTGTGGAGCCAAGAGTCTGCTCTAGCAGAAACTGACTGAATTAATAAGTGTGAAAAGCAGTCTTTTTTCATGTGTTCCTCTGGCGTGGTTTATGGAAACTGAGCAAATCCTGAAACTTGCATATGGAGGACAAAGTATCAGAATAAATGATGAGTTTTTATGAGCACAAAATTGTCTGCTTTTGATTGAATTGCAGGGGTCGGGGGGGAGGGAGAGAAGCTAGCAAACAGGTTCAATAAACAGATTTTGGACATCTTTATGTACCCTTATTTTACAAAATTCACCCCCCTGCTATTGTTCTGTTAGCAGACAGGACAGAGGCATAACTGAGGAGAAAAGACCAACCCTGAAGACGAGAGAGCTTCAGTCGCTGAGGACTTAGGGTAAGAGAAAATGAAACAAATCAATTCTGATCTCTTGTCAGGCTGCAAGATCTTGAAGTGGTAAAATGCTTAAAGTTTTTTAGTGTAGATAATGTATTGGAGGAAGTGGCTTATCAAAACAGCCAAGGCAACGCTTAGTCAAAAAACCTCTACCCTGATAAACGTACAAGAAGGGCTCCTTCACGTGACCTGTGCTAGAGGGACAACATCTTTTATGAGCACTGTTCTGCAGCTTTGGAAGCTGCTTGTAGAGCTACATCTGAACACAGCATTTTCCCTTTTGCTTTGTTTCCACCTCCCACCCCTCCAGACTACAGTCCCCAACACCCCAGCAATGGTGGGAACTGCGGGATAGCTAAAAAGCAGCATTTAACCTTGCCTGTGAATTTGTGGTCTTTTTACATATATAAACTTTGTGGAAATAATCCACTGGTGAGTCACAGGCTGAAAACCTCTGGTCTAAAGCAACAAACCCCAACTTGACTAATGCAGGAGTAAATGCAGGTCATAGCCCAGTAATAGGCTACTTCTTTTTTCTGTCAGCCTGGGCACAGGAACACACTGCACCTGAGCTCCAGAAGATCTCAATGAGCATTGGGTCAAGAACAACTACTTGAGTTTTTGCCTTTAAAGAATCATTTCTAGTCCTTATTTTGGCCACAAAGACTTTTAAATGATGAAAAGGGTACTAGAGCTTCATGGCGCCTTGTGTAATTCTACACTGGAGGTTTGCTTGTCACAGAAGTGCCCCAACTCAACAAAGAACTTCATTTTTCTGAGAGTTGCTGCAAAGTAACTGGGCACAGAAAACTTTACTGTGATGGGGTTTTAGGTTTTTTTCCCTTTCACTCCTCCACACCTCTTTTAGGACAGATGATGAGATAAAGAGAACCAGCTGGTGCTGCTCAGACAAGTAAATGAAGCATACAGGTTTTTCCATGGCTGTGGGAGAAGCTCCAAGATTTTCAGAAGACAGGAAAACTTAAGGTTTGTTGTGTGGAGAATAAAGCAAAAGTCCACAATGACTTTTACAAAGCTGTCCCAGAGGATGAAGCTTCATGCAGGTCATAAATCAACTGTGGCCCCTGCATTTTAGGTAGAATAGATAAGCCTTGATGGAGAAAAAGACATCACACTCTTCATCTCAGAGATCTGCTAGTGCTTTTGGACCTCAACCGCATTGTCTAAAAGTCATGGGCTTTGAGTACTGACAGTTCAGTAGAAGTACCTTCTTGTGGCTGTAGCTTGTTTGTTCTTTCCAGAAGAAACCTGTACCATAGGGTTGGCTTTAAGGAGAGCTAAGATGAGTCAGTTCTTACAAATTAACTACCCAGTAAAGTTATTAAACTGCTTTAGGTTGCATATGGAAAAGAGGTTCTCATCCAACATGAAAAGCACATGAAAAGCAGTGTTTTTTAGAAACTAATAGAATCATAAACTGGAGAGCATCCATTTAAGACAACAATGGACCAGTCAAAAGAAAACAAGGGGAGTCAATAGGTATCCAGCACAAACCAGAAAGTTTTGTCCCAAGGATAATTCAATCCTCATATCTCTAATTAAAAAAGAAATATTCTACTTTGCTGCTGGAAGAAACACGCATTGTAATGAACACACTTTATAGCAATTTACTTCTGTCCAAGTCTGAAGGACTGCAGCCTGACATTACACTTGTCGTTGGTCCCGCTCTCCCATGGGAGGAAGTGAAGAACATGCTCAGCAGCACATGAGAAGATGTGGCAGACACTTCCCCGAGACAGGATGGGGCTGTGGGGTGAAGGTGAGCAGCTAATGAAACCAACGCTCAAACTGCCCAATAGCGATGCTCAGGCAGTCTGACAGAGCTTTACTTCATGACACAAACACAGCAAAAAGAAATCCAGGGTAGGTGGCACAGAGATGAGTATTAATCAGCCTTATATTACAGCTCCTCACTTTCTTAGCAGAAAATTTAAGCTCTGAAGGATTGCTAAACTGCTAGAGGTTAGCAGTCTTTGGAGGACTTCCTTAATGCCTCTATTATTTCAGCTTCTGCTTTAGGAAGCTCCTCAAGATCAGGTCTGAGCTAAGTCATTTTAAAACAGTAGGAGTAAAAATAGCTTTCCCACCCCAAGTGGAAGTTGTAGCGATTCATCTTCTCCACCCACTCAGTGAAAAGAAATAAACGGATCTGTACGCACAAGTTCCAGTATAAACTAGTCTCACATCTTATAATGCCACTGCTGTAGAAACAGATTTGCACTATTATCTGTCATTTACAATCAAGAACTAATTGAGGAGTACTGTAGGCTTTAAAGAGGTTGTAAAACTTCTTTCAGCTTGATTGTCTCAAAAGCCTACAGTACTTTTCAATTAGTTCTTCTGTCACTTTGTGTTACAGGCAGTTACCTTCTGTGACTGAGAACTAATTAGCCTTGACACTATACACAAATCTTCAGGATAATCAAGCTTAAAGTTATTTCACTACTTTTAAAAGGCTACAGCAAAAAACAATTTAATCATTAATTTTTGTAGTCTTTTCTTTATTTACCCTGTTGATGTTTCACTGGTGCCAAAAATGCTGGGAGCATTTGCATAGTGTTCCTATGCAGTCTCTTAATAGTTTAGACCAGTTCTCTCCATTGCTGCTTTCCACCTCAAGCTCAAATCCTTACAGACACACCATTTGCTTGAATTAGATCGTGTGTCTTTCTGTAGTTAGTCTTAAAGCTCACGCTTGTCGACAGCTTTAATCCAGAAACAGGCTTCTGATGCAAAAGTCTACAAACCTCTACAAGCCTTCTACAAACACACACCTCAGCTGGGTAAGTCACCGCTGTGCCCAGCACATGCTCCACATCCGCACAGCGTGGCTCACCCCATCAGGCGCACTGAGGAACCTGCTAAAGGCCACGTGCTTGCACAAAAGAAACTTAGACAGTTCTCCCTATAGATTTCCATTTTTGATACTTCCTCTTATGTTGTTGTTCTTTAAATAACTCCATCCAGACACAACATAACTGCTAGTTTAACAACTACAGCATCAAGTTAAAAACACAGCCCAGCCAGAGGTATCTCCCTGCTACACAAAGGGAAAGAAATGAAAAAGGGGTTTCATTCCAGCCAGTCCCAGAGCTTCAGGCTACAGACAAGCAATTAGGGCACAGAGCATAAAAGGACAACAAAAAAGACCAACCAAACACAAACACTAGGGAAAGGCAGAAGTGTAAGCTACAGCAGGTGACTGCCAGCACTGCTGTCTAGCAATAAACATATACCAAAAAAAAGCCATTGATATAAATATATATATCTCTATATTAACAGACTTGTGTTTATAAACATTGAAAAGTTTTTATTTTATAGATAAATAGGATGGTGATTTTTAAAGTTAGGAAACAACACAACTTAAAAGCTCTGACTCCCAAAGATACAAGCCAGAGTTTATACTTTAGTCTTTCTCCAGCATATTAAGATGGCAGCTTCCTCCTTTTCATATTGCACTTAGAAACAAAAACCTTCTTGTAAAGGCTACATCGTTTTCAGGTCCTAGCACCGATGCTGGCATTTGAAACCAGTGTCTCAAAATATCTCCAAATGCAAAAAGTTTAAGGTGTTGTAACTGCCATGCTTAAACATAGCAACGCTGAAAATAACGCTCTCTTTCCAAAGCAAGAAAAAGCTGATATTCTCCAGGATTCCCTTAAAGTAGTCAGAAATGGATTAGCGCTTGTGATGATTGTGTACCGACAATCACATACAATTCAAATCATAATCAGGGAGTTTAGTTCATAATTGTTTTGGGCCTACTGCTTTTGAAGAGAGTATTTCGCACTGTTTTCACATTTGGAAGGTTACTTCCATCATGGCCAGCTCAAAGCCTTAGTTATTCTAAAAAGAATAGACAAGAATAAAGGACAAGAGGAACGAACAGATGCAATATTATTCAAAATACACAATCTAGTTGTTAGCATTGAATGCTAAGCCAAAATAGCACTGAAAAATAGAGGCTGAAACTATGGTAAGAAATCTCAGTGGAATTTCAGTATGACTGAAGAAATTTGCATTCATTGCAAGAATGAGAAGGTCTCTTTAGTTCTTCAAATTTCTGGAAGAAACACGATTATCTGTCTTACAACTTGTTTGTAGCATCCCCCCCAACCTAGTACCAGTTAACTTTCCCAAATTCAGAGTTTTTCCTAATACATCAGTGCTCCCAAAACATGGTTTCACATCAGGTCCAGAGTGAAATTAGAACGGTAGTAAATTCCAATCACTTGTAACTTTATCAAAGGAGATTTCTATAGACAGGAGAAGGAAACACAAATTAAGTTTTGTGCAGATTATAGGCCAATACCAGCATAAGATGCTTTGACATGTTAGGAAAAGAGTTTAAAGCACCAATCTCCAGGCTTATGCCACTCCTCACCGCATACCTGCGACAACACAGTACTGTTGACGTCACTGAAAAATGTATGCTACCACATTAAAAAAAAGTGCTTTTTCCCCTTTAAAGGTTCACACAAACTTTATTCTTTGCTTCCTGTATTTATATCTAAACTTATTTTTTAAAAGGTCATTAAAAACCAGCACTGATGTAGATATTAATTACTTTAAAAAAAAAAGAAAAAGCAAAGAATTGTGTTAGGTGCAGCTTTTATAATCATGTTCTGATTTTTGTTTTCCTTTTACATTTACCACAAAAGAAGTATTTTTTCATTGATTTTACTCCAAGGGAAAACAAAGGAAATCACTTTTTTTTGCACAGAGGAGTAAAGTCATGGACCAGAAACTTATTTCCCCACAGGACATTTCAGATGGAGTGTTGCAATTTTGCATCGTTAAGGCAAAATGAGGAAAACTTCCATCAGGTGTCACGTAGGGCTCCCCGACTCTGGCCATTCTGATAGACCCATATTTAAAAACCTTTGCAGTTACTTTTTTTTTTTTAAATAGAAAACAGTCACTCTCTTCATTGCTCAACCATTTGAAAGAAAAGGCTCTCTCCAGCCTTCACTCAGAACTTCAGTCTTGTGATTAGATCAGGCATACGCAATTGCTTCAAAACAGCTACAGAAACTAGAAATTGAGCTAAGTGTCAATCAGTTGTAATCTACTGATCTGATTAGAGGCCTTCACAAATGTTTGATGACGATTGCAAATAACAGCCAAGCAGATAGGAATGATGCAATACCCAACAGTTTTGGGGTCAGCTCTTGTGCAGGAATAGAGGAACAAGAACATCTGTAGATATGGTATTAAAAATATTATAGTCCACAGCCAAAAAGGCAAGGATAGCAGTCGTACTTTTAAGGAGTGCGTCCATGTGGTTCCTTCCTGTGGTTCCTTGGGGTGTTGCTGAATGTGCTCCAGTGCTAGTTTGTTGTAAGTCTCATTGATTTCAAAGACGTAATAAAAAGCTGCAGCACTTGCTAACAAGTACAACCCCACACCAATCCATCCCATCCTCTGGCGGAAGTTCATCATTCTCCATGCTCTGCACCTGGAACAAAAGGCAACACATACATTCAGTACAGCTGAGAGAAAGAAGGGACAGAGATGAAGAAGTTATCATAATTTTTTTTCTAACTTTTCATTACACATTAGTAAAAACGGCCCACATATCCATTTCTGAAGACCTGAGTTCTGTCTTTATCAGAGAAAACCATACTACTACGACAGCAACAGGCTAATGGTATCAATGGCTAATTTAGGGCCTGCTGGCAAGTTATCCCAGGCTAAAGTCAAGTACTAAGTGAACAAAACAGAGGTCATGAATTCAGTAAAGTTACCCAACCTGCCCTTAGTACCTCTAGCTGCAAGGTGGGAATAATACAAGACTTTCTATAAATACAGGAAGATCGTATAGTTCTTTGAGATCTGCAAGACAAATATGCTGCTAGCCAGCCAGTCACAGCAGCATCACTGCTTGTTTGCCATCCAGCAACATCCATTTTTATTAAGCTCTAGCTGAATGTCTACCTATGAACCATATTAAAGGATGCTTTCAGTCTGAACAGGAGAAGATACATACTCAAAGTATGTCTTTGTACCCTTTGTGCACATTTAGATGCTACAAGTGTGCTACCTGCATTTTAACTGTATTTCTGCTCTGCCTGTGTGAACCATGGCAGTGTGTATTCTAGACAAGAAGAGCTGAACACATCTACTAGTAACTGACTCAGTGCAGAACAAACCAGACACCAGCCACCTGGCATTTTTCAGAAGCAGCACAAATTAACACCACAGACACTACCAGGCCCCATTTTAGCTGCTAAGGTCTCCAGCAGGCTGTATGGGTGTTGGTGACTTAAAACACTCCTCAAACCAGTCACAAACACTCTAGCTGAAGTACCTCCACTCATACCAAGAAGTCATCACCACCCTCTCTCAAAATAGCCCTTGGGCAGGGCAAGGAAAACCACGGCTTCATTGCGGCTGGTTAGAGTTCTTCTAAGAAATACACTTTCTCAGATTGTTGGGGTTTTAATCTTCCCTACCTTTTTTAAGAGAGGGGTAAAATCAATTTATGCAGTACTGTTTTAAGAAAATATATCAGGCAGAAATGCTTAATTAAGGATGATTTATGCATACAGAACAATAATGAGTAATGTAAGTACCAGAGAGTTCATCATAATCGATAAAAAAAAAATATATCACTACACCTTTCTAACCCACCCCCCCAGCTTCCCGAGGCCAGAGTAATCTGCCGGGTTGCCAATCTTGAAAGGCTTCCCAGTTTTCCATATCTGAAGGATAACCTCAGTCCTGACCCTACAGAATCTGATCAGGGTCACCCTGGAGAAGTTGTTCTGGCCCTCACGCTGCTGCATTTATGGTGGCTAAGGGAGCCAAACACATTGTGGCAGTAAATACCTAAGAACGCCATTACTTATGCCTGTGACAGCTCTTTGTTGTTTAGCTTATACTTCTGTATAACTTAACAGTATGCTTCCCTGTAATACACAGAGTTAATCCTTTTAGTAGGACAACCGAAAAATTTGTGTAAGAAGCTGCTAATCCACTGGGTAAAAATTTAAATTCCAGAGTCCATGTTTACCCAACAGCTATGACTGTTTTTTCCAGTAGTCAGGCATTTTGGAGGTGGCAAACAAGTAGTTGCCTTCAGAGAGAACAAGTCTTCAAAAGGAATGCACATATTGCAAACACAAACACTGGTAAAACTGCAGTAGATTTAAAAAGGGGAAGCTTAGTTGCTTTTTCTCCTGCCCTTGCTAGTCGGCAGTAGCCCGAAGAGGAGCCTCAGCTCTGGGTGACACCGGGAGAGGCAGAAACAACGCTTCAGAGTTGTCTCATTCTTATCGTCCGCTCCGAGACACAATTTTTACGTGCAGGACAACCGCGGTGGTGACCGCAGCCGCTCACCCCCGTTCCGCGGGGGCTGCCGGACTTTCCTCCCGCAAAGGGGCCGGTCAGCCCGGCCGCCGGCGACACCCTCAGCGCTCAGCCTCCCCCGGCCCGCGCTCCACCGGCGCTCGGGGCGAGCAGCGCCCCGCCACAACCAACGCCAGCAGGCCCTTACCTTCCTCCGGCGGAGAAGGAGGGAGCGGGAGGGCGGCGGCAGGCGGCCCGCTCCCCTCAGCCCTCGCCGCCGCGCCGGGAAGCGGAGTGCCCCTCCGGCCCGCCGCGCCGCTGCCGGGCCGCCACCATCGCCGCCCGGCCACCGCTCCGGAACCGCGGCGCTTCCGGCATGGGGAAACTACTGCCGGTGCGCTCTCGTCTGCATCCGGGGCCGGGACGGGGTTGGCCGGCGGCCATCTTGGCTCGGGCTCGCACCCCTCTGTGGCGCCGATGGCCTCGCCCAAAATGGCGGCGGGCCCGTGTAACTGCGCGTCTCCCTCATTCACCCTTCTCTTCCTCCCGGCACCGAGACCGCCGTCGTCGTTATCACCTCAGCGCCGGTGCCGCTTCATGCGGTGATGGTGGAGGAGTAGGCCGGGGTCCAACAGCCCAGCCGTAGCACCGGCCTCTGGCGTGCAGTGATGGGCAGGCCCAGCGACCCGGCGCAGAGCTTACCTTTTCCCGCGCTGGCCGTTTGGGTGCGTTTGTTTTGATTGCGCAGGCGCTCGAGGAGAGGAGAAATTCAGAACAGCTGCATTTTGAGAGTTGGTTGTGTTCGCCAGCTGCGATACATTGAGGGAAATGCCAGTGGAGACTAGTATGTTGTGTAACAGTCTCCAACAATTAACATGTGTACTTAAAAAACAGTATATGTTTAAACATAAATATATCAATGGCATATTTCTATTGAATTAAACTATTAGGAAATAGAGTACTGGCAAAAAGCTTTCAATGAGGCCATAAAATCATCTAAATGGACCAAAAAAAGCTGATTTGGTCATATATGTGCAGTTCACTGAGGTGCATCATGATGATTGGAAAGTTTGCATATGCAGAAGGTGTTCCAATATATATCTGCATTCAGTAACTGTTTAAGGCTTACTTCCTGTGCTACTTAAAAGAATTCAGTAACTGCACAGTATTATACGTAAAATGAAAACTAAATTATATCCTGGAGTGATGAGAAAAGTACTGTTTTCTCATAGTGCTGCTGGCACTCTGAATTGTTGTAACCTCTCTGAATTGCTTCACAAATTGAATCAACTATGAGCAAAATGGATTTGAAATCCATTTGATTTGTCAAAACCTTGACTATGACTCTGTTAGTGTTGGGAACGACAGGCTTACTGGCGGGCAGCACTGAATTCTGTCCTCTAAAGTTACAGAGAAGCAGCGGTGGCCACAATTCACACACAACCAGCTATAGTTAAAAAGAAGGATAAAAAAGAATTTAAAAAGGGATGTCAAACAAGAAATTAAAGATGCTAAAGCAGTAACGTTTTTTGGTTGGTTGTAAACACATACATGTAGGATTTTCTGCCATTTTTTTTTGAGGATGTAGTAGGTGCTTGTGGGGCAGTATATAAAAGCTGCTGCAAAATTAAATTTATGATGGCTTATTCTCCCGCGTTAGGAGGATGAAAAATTTTAAAAACTAGCGTTTTGGATTACATTCAGAACCGCTGATGACTAAATGCTCAGTGCGATTACATTCAGAACCGCTGATGACTAAATGTGTTGCAGATGTCATTGAAGAAAATGAAACAGTTGAGAGCCCACAAAAGTCAGAGATAAGTTCCCTGGCACAGAGCAACTTCACCTTAGGCCATGCTGCTGTTTTGTTTTGTTTTGTTTTGTTTTGTTTTGTTTTGTTTTGTTTTGTTTTGTTTTCTTTGATGCTCATTCAACTAAAGGCTCAAAGAAGTGTACCTCCTTGGCCGCGGTGAGGACACTAGATGGTGCTCAACACCACCACAGGCAAAGCCAGCCTTTAGCAGGCCAGGTGAAACCCTGACTCGCAGTTCTGAAGTTTTCCACTTGACTTCAGTAGAATAAGGATTTCATCGTCTTTCATGAAGTTTAAATAAACTGTTAGTGTAAAGATTTAAGTATGAATAACTACATTCAGCTAATTATCCCTGGAACACTGCTCTCGACTAAATGCCATTCTTTCCCTTCTTACAGGTGGTGAGGTCCCAGTCGATCTGGAAGTGAACACAGCTCCTGTACAGCTGACAAACCTTCTACTCAAGTATAGCTTTATTGCATTTTCTTACACTGGGGTTAGAGGTAATTATGGGAAATTGAACAGCTACCACATATAGCCTATTTCCTTTAAAATATCAACCTAGCTGTCAAAGAGAAGGGTTTCAGTCAAAATTAGTATGTGACTACGTGAATACATGGTTGGCAGTGGGTACACATGCTAAGTGTAAAGCCCACAGTTACACTTAAGATTCTGAAGAAAAAGGAGTGAAATGTGCAGCTTATTCCTACTTAACAAGTCTGTCCTCTGAAGGGTTGGAGTTGGAAAGGGAGGATGGTTTATGACTTAACCTGCTTGGTTTATGGATCTTCTCTTCTGTGTTCACCATAGGTCTGAAATTATGGTTATGAACAGAAAGTTCTAAAAAATTTGTTGAGTTGTTATAGCAAACACACGCTGCCTTTGAAAGCTAAGGCATGGCACCAGACAGAGTGATTTGTAACTTCTTTGGGCCAGGTCTCAGTTTGCATAAATTCAGGGTCATGCTTAACCTTTGGCATAGTATAGGCAGGGATGCAGCAAATAGCTCAGCTGAGAATTTGCTTGGTGTTTTTTAGCAGCAGCCCTTAAGGGGAGAAAAATAATATCAAAATTAGTGGAACAATAAGCAACTGTTCTCAGCTATAGAGGAGTTTCAAGCTAAATTCCAATCATCAGGGCTGGTAACAATAAGGAGGAAACAATTCATACTCTCCGTATTGAAATGGGGATGTACATCTGGTGAGACTCAAAAGGGTAATATTCAGGTTGAAAACAGGAGGAGAAGGTAGAAGTCAGCTGAATCAAAATGAATTAATGTTTAATGTTCAGGCCTAGTATTAAAGAGGTAATAATGGGATTTTGTAGTGCTAAACAAAAAAAATAAAAAATGAATGTTTCACTTAATTTTGACATTTGAGTTTTGTTGGGATTGTGAACCAAGTATAGAAATACTGGGTTTATTTTGCAGGAAAAACAGAAAAGCATCAGGAGGAGTGTTCTATGATTCAGTGAGGGCTGGCTGCTCCATAAAGGGCAGGAGCCAAGCATGAACACAGCTGATAGGGCAGAGCTTCACTACCAGAACCCAGTCCCACAATACCTGAGCAGAGCGAGCAGAACACACCAAATTCTGCCAAGAGTCCAAATCATCAGGCAAGCAATGAGACAAGTCCAAGATCAAGCTGGGAAGGCAGCCCACAGGTTAGGGTCAGGTCCAGTGCTAAAAACTAGGGTCAGACATAACCTAGTGATTGCCCAGCAGGTCTGTTGTGATAAGAGAAGACTGAGGTCAAGCTAGGAAGTCGGTCTGTGAGTCTAGATCCAGATGAACATGGCTAGGCACACTCCTGGCTGAGCTGGAGACCTGTACTCCTACATCACAGCTCAGATGTGGACTGAAGGTCCAGGTCTCAGCTTAAACGGAGCTCCGGAGTCCATGGGTTGGGGGCAGGTGAGGCTTTTTGGGGCTGCTGAGGCCTATTAGGGCAGTCAGGGTCCTGACAAAGTATCTGGACAAATGATGGCTGACAATAGGAAAACAGATTAGTTGTAAATTTTGCATCAAACAAAGTTTTTATAACTTAGCATTAAATGAAAGTCTTCACTAGGCTTAGATTTTGGCCAAAATAGAAAAGCTAAGGTAGTAGACCTGAGATAATTACCTGACCAAAATTAGCTGGGCTTCTAAATGGAAGGCAGAAGCTGAAGGACAGAACACACCATGTATTTTTTGAGTGGATAAAGATTTAGCATAGTCATAGGTAGGTTCTCATTATTGACAAGTAACCAATCTAATTGCAGAAACATTTCTCTTAAGAAGGCACCTGCCTTCCATTTGTAGGACACTGATTTTTTGATTCACCAAGAACGCCATGTGCCTGGGTTTCTTCCTTCTCAGGCCTAACTCTAAGCCAAACACTTGGCTAGAGATCTGGGAGCCCTACAGAGTCCATATGTGTTGGGATTCCGAGGAGGAAATTGGCATAAAGGAAGAGAACAAAGCATAAGCCCAAGTGCTGGTGCTATGAAGATCATAGCTAACCTTAAGCAAAGAGGGTTAGACTACTTTTTGGGTAGGGCTAAACTTGTGAGGAGTAAGGGATGAAGTGCAGAGCTCCTTTAAAATGCCCACTTGCTGGCTTTTATGGAGCAAGAGGAGACAACTGTTAGAAAAGAAGACTTTCTTCAGAGCCTGTTAGGCTCCAGTCTCTTGTTCTCAAAAGGTAGGGACAGAAGAGCAAACTGAAGACCACTGCTTTGACTGGAGAAAGGAAACACATGGAAACCCAGGCCCTATGTGATATCTGCCCTCAGCTCCAGATGGGCAAACTCCCCTATGTGTAATAAGAAGAGGTAGTGCGGTTGTTTTTAAAGAGATACAGAAGGGAAGGGTTTTTGAGTGAATCTTAAGTAACACACCTGAAAAACCAAGGAGTTATATTGGGAGGAGAGAATGCCCTTAGGTTTTTTCTTCTCAGAACAATATTTATAGTGCTCATGTGAATTTTTATCTGAGTGAATGAATGCCCAGTGCTTTTTGCAGTTTGTAGCAATTCTATTACATGCAGTTGCAGTGAATTTCATAATATCATCTTGTGGTGTAGTAACTTGGTTTGATCAGTTTCTTGTATTATCATTTGTTATGAGTCAGAAGCATTAGTTACCCTCAGTTTCAATTTCATATGGTTTATTTAATGTTTTATGAATCCTTATTTTGTATTTTATAACTTTTGTTTCCTCTGAAAGTCTTCTGATTCCCTTTTTCCTTGGATGATTATTTTGTCTTTACTGTTGTCTTTCTTTGAACTTCTTTGTTGGAAACATCTGTTTTCTTAGAGGGGGTAGCACATTCAGTATTTTGGGAGCGTGTAAGACTTCTGTATGTTGGCATTTCGGTATTTTATTTCTTCTTATTGTGAATGGAAATACTATGTTTCTTGTTTTGGCTACACTGACCACATGAAGCAGAGGTGAGCTGTGTGTAATCCATGGTGATCTTTTCCTCCTTTTATTTGCTTCTTATAGTTTGAAATGTTGGGATCTTAAATTACCTGGATCTTTAATTCTCTGTTCCCGAAATTCTGCTCTAGCCTTTGTTTCTTAGCAGCAGCCACATCTGAGTTAAGCTTCAGGCAATCATATTATCCAGGTTCTCTGAATATCAGCCATACTTTGTTCTTAGTTCTAGAAACATTTACCATCTTTCCAAAAAACTTTTTGATATTTACAAATGGAATAGCTACCTCATTCTCCCAAACATCCCCAGTAAACATCTGCCAAAGGTAGAATTATACACAATTGCCCTTTGTCAGAGTGCCTCTATAGAACTGAGTTGTCTATGAGGAAGGGCCTTGGCATTTTAGACTGAACTTTTAGACTTCATTACAGTGATGCTCCTTGTTCATTAGTTGCCACTGAATATAAGCTTTGTGTTTACATTGTCTGCAGT